TTGTATAGCCATCCGAGAGTGGGAGATGTTGGGTGCACTTGGGGAGTTTGATTTACTTCTGGGCGAATCTGTTGAGGCTGCGGCCTTGTTTTCTGTTATTGCACAGCCTACACTTGTGACTCGAGTCATCTTCGGCTCGATCTCAGAGCCAGAGTCAGGGTAGAGGTCAGCCACTCTCGTGTTATCAGTGTGGTCAGCCAGGGCATATGAAGAGGTATTGCCCGCAGTTGGGTGGCACATCTGGTGCATCTGGTTTGAGGCAGATTCAGGGAAATATTGCTATAGCTTTATTCAATGCTTATATTTGGTTTAGTATTTTTCTACTGGGCTGTGGCTCACCCTTTATGGGAACATCATTTTCAGGTTCAGGTGATAAGCTACCTCCACGGACTTAGCCTGGAAGGATTTGATGTTTGGGATTTTGAAGACTTGTCTTTAGTTATATGTTTTATTTTGTTATTTTTGAGATTTCATGTAAACATTCAAGCCTAGGGCTTAACTTGTAAATGAGTTAGTACTCATCCTTTTTGTGTCCAAGTGTTAGCTTGGAAAGATGTAAGCCCTTAGGGCATTTATTTTGATGTTGCAGGATGTTACATGTGATGTCTTTCAATAAGAATACTCTGATGAATAACTCAAATGATTCATTTTCTCAGTTAAATAGAAAAAAATTCATTTTTTTTTTTTTTTTTATAACCAAACTTGATCTAAGCCATCATCACCAGCTAAAGTGACGTGACCAAATTCTGGCCCTTGACAGGAGAGACAACTGGAGAGGTTGGTTGGAGAGGATTCGGACTCTATAAGGGGAGCTCATGAGAATCGGGGACTTGGTCTTGCTTTTCTACGTCACATAGAACGTACAAAAGTTCTTGCTTTTGTGGTAGACTTGGCGGCTGCATTAGATGGTAGAAGAGGAATTCCATCGTAGGAACAATTTATGGGTTGATGCAAAAAAAAAAAAAAAAGTTTTAATTATTATTTTTATTTATTGTTTAATTTTATTTAAAATTACTTTTATTTGTAAATAATAATACAGTAAAAAATAATGATAATGATAAATTTTTGTGAGATGGATCAGAGTTTTGGAGTGAGAAAGAAGATAAGAGAATAATTGAAATTTTAAAAAGAAGATAAAAAGGCTTGAATATGAACAATACCTATAAGTGATTAGGATATATCATGAAAAAATGAGTTAATTACCTAAAAGTCTTATTTACAAATATTATGGTAGCCCAGGTTCTATTTAAGATTTTTTTTTGAACCAATAAGTCTTATTTAGTAGGATTGAAAATATTATCAGTTTTTTCTAATTTTTTAAAAACTACGAACATTTTGCACAATAATGTTCCAAATAATTGTTTTAGTAACTGAGAAAAAAAAAAAAAAAACTGAGTATGAGATTAAACATTTTTACCCTTTTACTTATTGGTTTAATTCAACTATCCAATAAAATCGAGAACAATATCAAATTTTTTTTTAAAATTTTAAAACTGAGAACATTATCAATATTTTCATTTTTTTTCCAGCTTCTCACATCAATGTTCGATTACCATATTTCATTATAGACACAAAATTTTTAGTGTTACACAAAAAAATAAGGGAGAGTTATTAAAAAATCCATTTTCAAGTGTTTGTATCCTAATTAGTCCATAAGATATTTTTATATTTCAATAAGTTCTATTATTTGGACATTTGATCTACCGAATCCTAATTCCCATATTTAAGGTATTTTATGAACATTTCTACTCTTACAAATATTTTTTAAACGGTTAATAATTTAGTGATGTAAACATTCATGTTTTACAATGTGAATATTCACATTGACGTGTAAATGTTCATATTGACATGTTAACATTCACATTGACGATGTGAACATTCACATCACGGAACATTCACGCTGTAAATGTGAATATTATTATTAGGGATATTTTGATAACTATGTCACTCATAAGACTTATTGGAACATAAGAAAATAAGTATGGATTGAATAAAACATAAGTAGGTGAAAAAAGATTTATAAAAAAGTGTCCCAAAAAATAATTTAGTTTTCCATTTTTTCAAAAACACATAATATTTTTTTTTTAATTTTTTCAATTTGAAAGTTGATATTTTAAAGTTTCGAAAATCCAAATAAATATCAAATGATCATGTTTCATTATAGATAATCATAAATGACGAACAATGATTATTTGAAGGTCAATTTCGACTGTTAAAAATTTAATAGGACTTCAAGATTTGAAAAATCTTAATGGAGTATACGTTCATAAATTAAAATTTAATGGGATATAAGTTTATAAATTAAAATTTAAGTTTAGGATTTAATATGTAATGTCCTTATTAGTAAATTTATATTAAAATATAATTACAATTAAAATTTTAACTAGACGTATTAAGTTATTTTTTAAGTGCAAATAGAATCACCTAACAATACTTGTACAGAATTAAGGGTTATTTACCAATAAATCTCATATTATAAACAAGTACTCCAATTAATCTCAAGTTTTTTTTATTAATTTGTTAAGTCCTATTAGTGGAAAGTTTCTTTCCGTGTGGTCCTATTTTTGAATTTGATAGTGTTTTGGTAGACAGCTATACCCTTTTATTAATGTGACAATGTGGGGGCCGAATAAAACTATTACGCATAGAGGCCGAGTAACTTGAGGAAAGAAACCAAGTTATGCACTATACAGCTCTATCTCGGAGGGACAGAGCCGAATAAGCGGATCGGCTGAAAAATCAACTGTAGACCGGGCCGAGTACGAACAGTTAGCCGAATGAGGGATTATTCATTGGACGACAGGTGGGCCCAACCATCAACATCAAGGACGACTGTAAATAGGAAGAACATCAGATAAGAGTGAGACATGTGAGAACAAGTAAGTAAAACATAAGATATAAGCAACCAAGAGAGTATACACTGACTTATCCGTCGAAGTGCTAATTCCAGCACCCCTAACCGGAGTTTTCATTCCTTTTCAAGCAACTAGCTGAGGATCACGAGCATCCTATTAGATCCAAAGAGTATTTCCAAACCACTTCTCCACAATTGGCGCCGTCTATGGGAATACTCCAACACATCCATGGCGGGCATAAAGGAAGATCCTCCGATAGTTGTTGACGACCTTACGCCACTAGATGATACCACTTCAAGCAACATGCTTGGGCTCGAGACCATTACCACACGAAGGGCCTTGAATTTCGACTCAGTTGCCCAGACTTCACCCTCGACATCAGCACCTGAGACAATGCAAGCGATTATGGATCAGGTGAAGCAAAACGAACAGAGGTTGGAAAACATGATGGCTGAGAATGAGTGCCTTCGACAGGATTTGGCCTTGGAGGTGGCAAAATCCCAACAGGGCGTATGCTAAGATCTGAGACGACCTTTGAGAAAGGATGGTCGACGACCTTGAATTCGAAGACAAGATAGTGGCAGTGATTCTGACTCATCATCCCCAGAACCCAAAAAGAAGGGACGAGTCAAAGTCTCCAGTTCTTCCGAAGGGAGTCTGCATGCACGGAATAAGCGAAGAAGAAATGATTCAGACGAAGAGGATCAATATGACCCCTTTGTGCGACGGATCGCAAGGGTAGTGCTATCCAAAAAGTTCAAAGCTCCATCGTTCACCTTATACGATGGAAAATCAGACCCCACTGATCACATCCGTCATTATAAGCAAGCCATGACGCTACATGCAGACGATAAGGCCCTCATGTGTTGAATATTTTCGAGCAGTTTAGGACCATTGGCCATCAAATGGTACTACAAATTGGAACCGAAATCAATTAAAAGTTTCTATCAACTCCAAAAATCCTTCAAGGCCAGGTTCATCACCAATGACGTCCAGCTGAAGCAAGTCGATTCTCTCTGGGCAATGCAAATCCAACCAGGAGAAACCTTACGTGCGTATTCGGCGCGCTATTGGGAATGCTTTAATCTCATAGATGATGCTTGCAATGACTTCATGGCTATCACCGCCTTTAAAATGGGGTTGCATCTTGATAGTGCCCTCCGCAGCTCTTTAACCAGAAGGCCTCCCAAAACAGTCTGGTCGTTGATGAAGAAAGTCGAGGAATACTGCAAAGTGGAAGATAACGCCCTACGGGTCAAAGCTGGGCACAAGGCCAACAAGACGGTCCCATTTGAAATCGTTTAGCCGAAAAATTCTGTACCACCACAGAGCCCTAAACCACGAAATCAGATTAAACAAGACGAAAGACGATATTCGCGCCGATCAAATGACCAATGTCCACACCGAGCTAATGAACAACTTCAAGTGGATAGCAGGCGCATAAGGTGCATGGACAAGAAATATACGGAGTTGTCGGAGCCGATCAGCACGGTTATGTCTAAAGTTCAACATCTTCTGTTCTTTAAATGACCACCCAAGATGGTGGGACCTCCCGACACAAGGAGACGGGATAGGCGAGTGCGAATATCACAAAAACCACGGTCACTACCGACAGTTGTTATGCTTTGAAAGATCACCTTGAGGAGTTGGTACAAGACGGTCGGTTTAAGCAACACATTCGAAAGAACAACTCAACCAAAACAGTTGCTTTACGGCAGGATTCATCTCCACTCGGCGTAATCCATATGATATACAGTTTGCTGACGGAATCTTCCGTACATACAATTCAGTCGCATCCTAATCCCCAAAAGCAGATCACACCAGTGAAACGGCCCCATGAAGCTGCGAGTATTTCTTTCGATGATTTTGACTTGGCCGGCGTAATGCTCCCCCACATTGATCCCTTGGTCATCGAGCTACGCGTAAATCAATTCACTGTTGAACGTGTTCTCATTGATCAGGGAAGCACTTTGGAAGCTATGTACTACAAAACCTTCCTCAAACTCTGCTTCACTGAGTTGGACCTGTCTCTAACTCATTATCCGCTATTCGGCTTTAACGCTAATCTGGAATATCCATTGGGCAAAATCACACTACTAGTTCGGGCGGGGTCCTGGTCACTGGATGTAGAATTTTTGGTTGTCAAGCTTCCTTCGCCGTATAATCTTGTCATGGGACGAACTTGACTGCATACCATGCAGGTCGTGCCAAACACATATCATCAACTACTTCATCTTCTGACTGAACGCGGCATTGAGCAAATTCGAGGATCCCAGAAATCGGCGTAGGCATGTTATCTTCTTACCGCAAAGACACCAAGAGAGCTGGAAGTGAACTCAATTGAGATGCCGGATCGAGAGAGCCTCGACGATGTTGGCCAACTCCCAAGTGAAAAGGCAACCGGAGCCTTGGATCAGGTTGAAATTAACCGGAATCCGAAAAAGTTCTTTATAGTCAGTGCCTCCCTGAATAAAGTTGATAGGCAGGAGCTGATTTCCTTCTTACTCGACAATCTTGATGTATTTGCATGGTCACCATATGAGATGCCAGGGGTGGATTCATCTGTGTCTCAGCACCGCTTAAACGTTGATCCCACGTGTAAGCCGATTATTCAGAAAAGCCAGTGGTCAGCCGTGGAACATACTGCGGCTGTTGTTGAAGAAGTTGATCGGTTACTCGATTCCGGGGCAATCCGTGAAGTGACCTATCCTACATGGCTGTCGAATACTGTGGTTGTAAAGAAGAAAAATGGAACTTGGCATGTTTGTGTGAATTTTACGGACTTAAACAAAGCTTGTCCCAAAGATTGCTTTTCTCTCCCCAGAATTGACCAACTTGTAGATGTAACAGCACATCATCAACGTATGAGCTTCCTAGATGCATATAGAGGCTTCCATCAAATTGCCATGCATCTGGAGGACCAAGACAAAACTGCATTCCTTACCCCAAGAGGAACCTATTGCTATAAGGTTATGCCTTTCGGGTTAAAGAATGCGGGGGTAACCTACCAAAGACTAGTCACTGCCATGTTCAAGGAACAACTCGTCCGTACTATGGGAGTTTACATTGATGATATGGTGGTCAAGTCCAAAGAAGAGCAAACTCATCTAGTCGATCTGAAAGAGACATTCGGCATTCTTCGCAAATACAAAATGAAGCTGAACGTTTCCAAATGTGCCTTCGACATCGGATTCGGTAAATTCCTTGGCTACATTGTTAACCACCGCGGAATCGAAGCCAACCCGAGGCAAATCACAGCAATTCTAGAACTCGGCTCTTCTCGGTCGGTCAAAGAGGTTCAGAAGCTGATAGAAATGTCTGCGGCACTTAACAGATTCATCAGTCGTTTCATAGAATGCTGCCGACAATTCTTTCATACCCTCCGGCAGGGTAAAGCTTTTGAATGGACCCTCGAGTGCGAAGCTGCTTTGGAAGGTTTGAAAGCTTACCTCCGATCAGTTCCACTCTTGACAACACCTTTGGTAGGAGATCCACTCATTTTATACCTAGCAGTTTCCGACCAGGCTGTCAGCGCCGTATTGTTAAAGGAAGAACTAGGGGAGTAGCGGCCAGTTTATTATGTGAGCAAAGCGATGGTTGATGCCGAAACACGTTACCTTCCGTTGGGAAAACTCGTCCTTGCTCTCGTCATGGCAGCAAGAAAGTTGATGCATTACTTTCAGGGCATACCATTGGGGTACTAACGGACTACCCCTCCAGTCAGTACTTTATAGTGTAGAAACATCAGGGCGCTTTTCAAAATAGGCTCTTGAACTCAGCCAGTACTTTATTCAATTTCTGCCCAGAACTTCAATCAAGGGGCAAGTGCTCACCGACTTTGTGGCCGAATTCACTAGATGCCTCGCCGACTTCAAGTCTAATCAAATGTAACCTAATCCGAATTGGAGAATCTATGTTGGGGATCTTTGGCAGTTATATTGTGACGGATCATCCAACCAACACGGTAGTGGGGCGCGCGTAGTGATCATGGCTCCCGACGGGGCAATAATCGAGCAGGCTATCAAACTGGGCTTCGATGCGTCAAACAATGAGGCCGAATATGAAGCATTGTTAACTGACTTCCGGAATGCACATCCCCTTAGTGCTCGGCGTCTGCTTATCTTCTACGATTCAAAGCTAGTCATCAACCAATTGAAGGGGGAATACGCAGCCAAAAATGACCGTATGACAGCTTACATGAAAACGGCGAATTCTTTGCTGGCCAAATTCGACCATCAAGAACTAAATCAAATAACCCGGGATCAGAACACACATGCAGATGCCCTGGCTTGCCTAGCCTCTGCCATTAACTCAGAAATTAAATAGACAATTGAAATAGGATTCATCCCTGAGCCAAGCATTGCCCCCTTGGAGTCAATTCAAATCAATATCATAGAATCGGGCCCAAGTTGGATGGACCCTCTCACTGCATTCCTATCTTCTGAACAGCTCCCGACGGACAAGAAAGAAGCACACAAACTACGAAACAAAGCCCTACGATATTACTTAGATCCGCAAGGAAAACTCATAAAAAATCCCTTTCTGGTCCATACCTAGACTGCGTCCATCCGGATAAAGTTGAGGAACTCCAGACTAAAATACATGAAGTTAGCTGTGGTGCCCATTCTGGCGGACGCTCTTTGGCTCATTGAGCTGTGACACAGGGGTGTTATTGGCCGACAATGAGAGCTGATGCCGAGTGTTGTGTCAAGAAATGTGAACAGTGCCAGAAGTTTTCCCCTTTAACCCATTTTCCTGTTGAAGAGTTAAGCTCTATCACCAGTCCTTGGCCGTTCGCCCAATGGGGACTTGACATCGTCGGACCATTACTTCGTGCCCCGGGCAATAAGCGACTTTTGATTGTCGCGACAGATTACTTCACAAAATGAGTCGAAGCGGATGTTTTGTATGGAGAAATATCATAACACGATTTGGCATTCCAAGAGCACTTATTTCAGACAACGATACCCAGTTGAATTACGGTGTCTACCGAGAATTGTGCAGCACATATGGTATTCGGCCCTATTTCTCCACCTCAGCTTATCCACAAAGCAATGGCCAAGCTGAAGCCTCCAATAAAACCATTTTGGACGACATCAAGAAACGGTTGGAGAAAGCTAAGGGCAGGTGGGTTAAAGAGCTCCCCAGTGTGTTGTGGGCTTATCGCACTACACCAAGGCGGTCCATTGGGAAAATGTTGTTCGCCTTTTGTTTCGGAACTCAGTCAATTATTCCCCTGGAGATTGGCTTACCCACTCTGAAAACAAAGGTCTTTAACTTGGGTCGTAATGACATGATGTTAGCTTTGGATCTAACTCTGATTAAAGAACGCTGAGACCGAGCCCTAGCGTCTATGGTGCGGTATTAGTAGCAGCTCGCTAAATCATATAATCAACGTGCAGTTGTGACGTTATATACCCGGAGAATTGGTCTTGAAGAAAGTTCTTCTCACTACTAGGAGCCCCGCCGACGGAAAGCTAGGTCCCAACTGGGACGGCCCCTATCAGATTGAGTCAATCATTGGCACAGGGGCATATTGGCTCAAAGACATGTCTAGGAGAAGTCTGCCACATCCTTGGAATTCCACGCATTTGCGTAAATTCTACCATTAACCCGACTTATGGGGCATGATACTTGTTTTGAATGTTCAACATGTACAAATTTCACTTTTTCAATGCAAGGTTTCTTAATTCCTCATTATACGAATTTTAGTTCATAAAATTAAAAGCTTCCGAGTTCGGAGCCCCATCCGTGCATGACACGTTTGGACCGAATAAGCCTCCGGATTCGGAGTGCCCTTCATGGATATCACGATTGGCCAAGTCAAAAGCCTCCGAATGTGGAGCCCCATCCGTGCACGACACGTTTGGCCCGAATAAGCCTCTGGATTCGGAGCGCCCTTCATGGATATCACGATTGGCCAAGATAAAAGCCTCCAGATTCGGAGCGCCCTTCGTGGATATCATGATTGGCCAAGTTAAAAGCCTCTGAATGCGGAGCCCCATCCGTGCACGATACGTTTGGGCTGAATAAGCCTCTGGATTCGAAGCGCCCTTTATGGATATCACGATTGACTAAGATAAAAGCCTCCGGATTCGGAGCACCCTTCGTGGATATCACGATTGGCCAAGTTAAAAGCCTTCGAATGCGGAGCCCCATCCGTGTATGACATGTTTGAGTCGAATAAGCCTCCAGATTCGGAGTGCCCTTCGTGGATATCATGATTGGCTAAGATAAAAGCCTTTGAATTCGGAGCCCCATTCGTGCATGACACGTTTGGACCGAATAAGCCTCCAGATTTGGAGCGCCCTTTGTGGATATCACGATTGGCCAAGTTAAAAGCCTCAGAATTCAAAGCCCCATCAGTGAATGACACTTTTGGGCCGAATAAGCCTCCGAATTCGGAGTGCCTTTCGTGGAAATCACGATTGGCCAACACAAAAAGCCTCTGAATTCGGAGCGCCATCCATGCAGGTCACGTTTGGGCCTCACAAGACTACGGATTCGGAGTGCTTTTCGTGGATGTCACGATTGGCCAAGTTAAAAAGCCTCCGAATTCGGAGCCCTATCCGTGCAGGTCATGTTTCGGCGGAATAAAACTCCAGATTCGGACCGCCCTTCGTGGATCTCACGATTGGACAAGGTAAAAAGCCTCCGAATTCGAGCCCCATCCGTGCAGGTCACGTTTGGGCCGAATAAGACTCTCGATTCGGAGCGCCCTTCGTGGATGTCACGATTGGCCAAAACATAAAAGCCTCCGAATTCGAAGCCCCATCCGTGCAGGTCGCGTTTGGGCCGAATAAGACTCCAGATTTAGAGCGCCTTCGTGGATATCAAGATTGGCCAAGACAAAACAGCCTCTGAATTGGGAGCCCCATCCGTGCAGGTCACATTTGGGTAGAATAAGACTCTGGATTTAGAGCGCCCTTCGTGGATGTCACGATTGGCCAAAACATAAAAGCCTCCGAATTCGAAGCCCCATCCGTGCAGGTCGCGTTTGGGCCGAATAAGACTCCAGATTTAGAGCGCCTTCGTGGATATCAAGATTGGCCAAGACAAAACAGCCTCTGAATTGGGAGCCCCATCCGTGCAGGTCACATTTGGGTAGAATAAGACTCTGGATTTAGAGCGCCCTTCGTGGATGTCACGATTGGCCAAGGCATAAGAGACTCCAAATTCGGAGACC